GGCCAGAAAATATCCATTTCCATACGAAACTAAACCATTAATATTTTCTTTTTGTTAAATTATAATATCAAAAACTTAATGATTTACGACTGCAGGGATCGGCAACCTCATAGTTAACGAGTTGTGTCCCGACTAAATTTATCGTATACGAGTTGTGTCCCGATAATAAAAGTGGGGTACACGAATTGTGTCCCAACTGTTTTATGAAGTTTTACACAATAAGTTAAATAAGAAAAGTTTTTATAAATTCAAATCGAGAAATTTTTTCATTTCAATGTTGTATAATTACCAACATATATTTTATAAAATAGTTACAAAATAAAATTCGATTCTATACTTTCAAATTTTTGCCTAATATGTAATTTTATTAAAACTGTTAATGTAGTTATTTTTACTTTTTATTTATATTTATTAGGCAAAATAATATCAATTATTGTTATATTACATTAAAATTTTTACTATAATAATATGACGTTTTTTTATACGAATTTCTTATTTTTCGTGTAAAATATAATATTTAACATACTTTTAATATTTCAATAGAAAAATTTCTCAATATGAATTTAAAAAAATTGTTTGATTTAAGTGTTTGCTTTTTATGCTATATTATTAAAATTATTTGTGTAGTTATTTTTAATTTTTATTTATATTAGTTTGATCAAACTTGAGGGACACAATTCGTGTAACCTGAAAAATACATAGGGACACAATTCAGTATTTAAGACACAACTCGTTTGCAGCCGGCAACCTTTCGTCCGTGTATTGCGCGCGTTGTACCTTTTTAGGTATACGATTGCGCGCAGTGCCTAAATAACAAAAAACATGATTTTAACTACCCCCAAAGGCGTACGATTGCACGTGAAATTGGGTGCGACGTTGCCAAATTGTTTATTAAACAAAAATTAAGTTATATAATAATTATTTTTAATATTTAAATACAAATACATTCATTCAGAAACTAAGAATAATAAAATATTAAAAAAATGTTATAATACCGTCATAAAAGAAAAAAAATTATTATTTAAAAAAATGTAGGTAAAAAAAGTTAATAATTTAAAAAAGTGGATTAAATTAAATTTTAAAGCCTCTATACCTATTTCCAACTATTGATAAATATTTTAGTACGATTACAATTAATAAATCATAATTGGTAAAATATATGGGATATCACATTATGTTATTTGATAACCAGATAACTTTGTTAATTTTTACCACGTTAAGATAATAGGTATATGTACCAAACAATGATAAATCTAAAATAAATTAAATTAAACTTTATTTAAAATTTAAACTATAAAATGTAAATAAAATAAGGTGGATGGCCCGCGAAAATTATTTTTATTATTTTTACACCAAAAAGATTGGTGATCTTTTGATTTACGATACAATATAAGTCCACGAAAAAAATCTTTAAACCTAATTATAACAGACATTAGTTCTCTCAAATAATGTCCCAAAGGAATGATTTTATAGAAAATTAATTACAATGATGATTTTACAGACGTGCCTAAATGGCCAAATAAATGCAAAATACATTTTCATTTCCTAAGCTATATCAGTCACAAAAAAAAAATTCATTCGATAAGTGGAACGATTCGCAGAGTTTATGACGCCTTACCTTAGCTCGCCTCATATGAATTAAAATGTACAAAAAATAAAAATAAAACAACCCAAGAAAGACTGATGGATATTTGAAGAATAATTAATCTAGAGACCGGATTTATATGCACAAGAAATCCTCAATATATACTTCTAAAAATACTGTAATATGATACAAAATATGCATTTATTATTAAATATGTACTAAAAATTGAATCGAATATATTTTATTTACAATTATGTAAAAAATAAGTATTAATTAATAATTAAGTATCAATAAAGGTATAAAAAGATTTTAAAAGTATAAAAAAGTATATCGTTATCTTCGACATTTAACATTCTTTATCTTCAATCTATAACATATTAGCCTACATAATAAAAAGTGAAAACAAAAATTGATGTATATTAATATAATATACATTTCATATTATGAGTACATTGTCATCTTTCATTTTATCTTTAGCAATAACGACCTATCGTATTTGTATCGATATTATGTAAATTTGAACGTGAAAATACGTCGAAAAGCAATTAATATATGTCTAATAGTCTAATGAATAATAATGTACATTATAAAACTACGAATATGCATTAAATATGGCAAAACCGTTGAAATATGTAAAATACCATTAGTGTTATTTTAATAAGAATGATCTAAATCGGGAACAATTCTCATCAGATTCCAAAAAGCTTATTCCAATACATATACTCGTATACATTTGCATATAAATCCGGTCCCTATACTAATTACTGATGACTGTTTAGATTTGTTGATTTTTTTATTAATTATGTTATTTTCTTATTGTTTTACAAAACTACAAAGTATAATGTTTTTTATTATTATTTACGAGAAAGATTATAAGATGTATTTATTCTTTTTTTTAAATTTATAATTTTTTATAATCCGTGTTATACTGTTATTGATGTTATTGTTAAAAGCACGTTGCAACCGCATGTGTTGTCTCCATCTTATACACGTACGATATAGTTTATTTTTATTTAGCAGTTTCAATAGTAATTAATATGCTTTAGTTTTGATATCAAAGTGAATTATTGACCTATTATCAAACTATTAGGTAAGAACATTATCTGTGTTTTCTCATTAGTTTTTTACGTATTTTTAATTTTAAGTGAATTATGAGCATTTTCAAATATTTATATTTTTCATATCTATTAATCTATTCTATTCTATTATCAATGGTACTATGTTGTTTTTATTTTTTTATTAGAATTTATATTTTATAGAAATGAAACTATAAATTATGTTTTTTTCTTTTTTTAAATATAATACACAAGTGTATCTGATTTCTTTAAAATGTGTTATTAGTTATTTCATTACATTCAAATCATTTTTATAATTAATAATTTTTAGTTTGAAGAGAAAACGTACATAAATAATTATTAAAAATATTATCTAACCATGACTATAAATAATTGTGAGATAGATAAATAATAAAAATAATATTAATATTATATTAGTAAAATAGCCTATCTCAATATGACTATCCCGTAACTACTCATATTATCTCAATCTCATAAAACTTTGAATTTACAAAAAATTTGAAATTTTTATTAGAAAAAAATAGTTTTACACACAAAAGGCTTAAGCAATCCTTCAAAATATTTCATTTTAGAAAGAAAATCATTTAAAACACGTTTTAGGCTTTACTGTAAAAACATGAAAACTGAGATAGGTGTTGTTACGATGGTGATTAGTACATTTATGATAATTGATAAGTGACGATAGTCGATAATATTATTATACTCGTACAACTGTAATAGTAGATTATAATTAATATTTAAAATTATTCTACATTCTACAACTACAGTTTTTACTACTGAGTATATAGATATTGTTACCTACATCCCGAGTCCCGATTTGATCGATTCATGCATCAACGTGGAAATGAATACGTGATGTATTAAGTGTTTAAGTATACGAAAATCTTTATTCAACGTAACTAACTTAGAATACAAAAATACAATATATATAAATACAAGGTGTTGAGTAAACGATGTTATAACCTGACTCCAAAAATAATCATGAATAAGACCACGAGTGGTGTTACGACCTTCACTTGCCTCTAAATTTCTTCTTAATCGTTTGTCGAGTTCTCGTCCCGATCTCCCTAATAATTTATAATCGGTTCATAAAGAATGGTGGTCGTGGAGGTGATTTAATATTCGTGTCGTCTCGAATCCTTATCCGGGGACTTCGTGTTCCGACTTTTTCAAGAAGTGAGCTACGTGTGAACATATTATCATCTAAATAGTTGAATTAAATAATATAATGTTTATGATATTCGTTCCGACATCAACATCGCTTGCAATATTATGTCCAAACACTCCAAACCGCTCAATATTCGTTATAGGAATTTTCGTACATATACATATGTGTCATATAGGGTCGTAGCAATATAGTTGGTACTAACAAATTCATCTAAACATTCTATACCGACTATACCAACTAAAATACCATATAAATACCGGTTTCGATAGTTCGACCTTTCCAATCAAACATATATAATAGTAAGCCCCGCAACACTATTAGAATAGTTCACAATTCACACGGTTCACAATGTTCACATGATAAACTACAGTTAGAGTCACTTATTAAGGTCGTTCGCGGTACAGCGTTTTCAGATTTATTATAGCCGTTTCACCTTCACAGTTCACACTATTGTAATTACACTATTTTAAATTGTATTTTTATTTAATAAATTACCATTTTATCATGACCAAATAAAATTGTCTTGTTAATTAATCATACGCATAATATTTGAAATTTGGATCACGTACAATCCACACGCTATACGTTTTTACGTATCCTACACATTTCAATAATTCGATAATATCCATCATCGAAGAGTACATTATATGAATACTATTTCAGTAATTATTATAATATCATGCTGTTTACAATGTTATTTAACTTTTATCGCAGTAAAATAATATTATTATACGATTATTAGGCGCTTGATTTTTTTTTGATTTTTTTTATCATTAATCGTGTATTTTATAATAATTGCCGCCCGGTACAAAATTTGTATATAGCGTTATGAAGACGTCGACTTGGCGGGCGGTGCAGTGGTGGTAGAAATCGCAGCACATCTGTGCATCTGTACACTGTAGTACAATGAACAACGCTGACCACCGACCGGTTTCGTGGTATTTCTGAATTCTGAGAAATAAAAATAACAAAATTTAAGCTATCACATCGCATGACTGTACGGACGGCGCAGCCTGTTTCTATTTTGTCCTTGGACAAACACCCTAGATCAAGAAATCCGTGTTTCCATCGCAGTCGTCTTCTCGTGTGCGCTCGGTCGGATGCGTCGTACCCGTACGTCATTGTGCGCGCGCCACCATCGGACCGTTTTACTTACCAGGCGGCCAACCGTCGTGGGTACCGCACTACCGCAGTTGGCGCAGTTGTCAGTTACCTGCTCCGTCTGTCAGTTGTCGTGTTGTGTTGTGTCGTTTTTGCCGTCGCGGCTGAGAGCCGTCTCCGGCGTTGTCGACTAAATTATCGTAATAAATTTGACCGGTTCCTCGTGCGAATATTTGATACGCAGTTAAACTACAACGAATTTGTGATCGCCTTTTTTTCTCTCTTTTAATTCCTTAGATAGTATCGCATTTGATCTGGGTAATATCCTCGGGTTTTCTGTTTTTTTTTCTTTCATGTAGTGTCTATAAACCCAAAACTTTGTTATTATTTTTGATGTATAATGAGTTTTGTGCGTGACGGTTCGCTAAACCGCCGCAAGAGACGATTAATTCATCAAATTTTATCGGCGCACAATATCGAATCAGATGGAAAAAAGATTCACAAAACGAACGACAAAACCACTGCTCAAAGTGATTTTGCGACAAGTACTCGACTGTTAAATTTTGACGAAAGTACGGACAATCGGTTGGCGTCGACGGTAAGTTCATTTAGTATGGTACAATTTTATTGTGATAGGTTCACAATTTTCTGTTTTTACTTCAGTATTATGACTTATAATTGGAAGGTATGAGAATAGAGTTGACTAATACAGACCGAAAAGTCTTATCGATGTCATGTTTTGAGCGGATTATCGTTGTTTTTGATTTTATTTAATCGCCGCGACCGTTAAAGTCGCAACTCTAGGGCCCTCCATAATAATATGTTTAAAAATAATAAAAGCTGTGTATTTGTTAGATCGTAATATTAACACTTGATAAAGTGCTGCGCACGCACCTATATTTTTAGTTGTTGGGTTAACGTAAATACTATATTATAATATTTGCAGTGTGAAATACCGTATAATTATGATATGTTTTAAGTTGTCATCTGTAGGTTTGGTTAATTTGTAAAGGGAATTTAAGTGTTGGTGTTTTGTCAATGTGTTGAACAGAACCAAGGCTCTCAAACTAATACTTTTTATTTTTAAGTAACATATCACAGAGACCAAACTATTTTGGCGGAAGAGGGAGCAACCTGTTACCTACTACAGTACTCCATTATAATTTATATTATGTTGTAATCAAAAAGTTATCAACAAAATCTTAGTTTTTAAATTTTTAGGTAGGTACTGTCATTCATATAATATTATCACGTGGCACAGTTATATTGGAGGTTAACCCTTCCAATTTTAACATTTTATTAATTGTTTATGAGTACATATTAAGCATAATATACGTGATTTATTTATCTATGTCTGATGTTTGATACTTTGGTACCTAACCATTTTTGTTGATGTGATATCTATACATTTTATTGACATTTGGATAACTACTATGTACCTATTATTTAGAATATTTACATGTATAATAAATATATGTATGTACTTACTACATCAACGTAACTCCCCCATTGTAGTATTTGCACAATTTACTGTTAAAGTTATTTATGAGGGCGCATGTAAATTCCACCGGTACGCTAATATTACCTGAAAAAATATGTAAACTCCACTGGTACGTTTTTTTTTACCTGAAAGAAAAATGTAAACTCCACCGGTATGTTTATTTTTTTTTAAATTGTAATCCAAATCCAATCTGATTAACTAAGATTATATAATTTATGTACAGATTTATTATTTATCCTTTTCACCACTAGTACTTGTTGTGCTTAATTGTATAGTTGTATATTTTCATATTAATAAAAAAAAAAAAAAAATATATATATATATTATATTTAGATACCTATATTTTTTTTACACAATATTAAAATAAATGATATAATAATTAATAGTGATCACTAGTTTGTAGTTAAAATAAAGTTAATTAAAATAAATTGATAAAAAATAATTACTTAAAGAAAATTTAAAATTTGGTTTGATAATGTTTAGATGCAGTTTTGACGAATTGCATAATGGTAATATTGTTTGCCTTGAGTGACGAAATGATGGTGTTTAAATATTTTTGGCTTGTCTAGTTGTAATCTGTGGATTTTACCATCGATGGAGTTAACGTGTTTTCAGGTCAAAAATACGTATCGGTGGAATTTACATTTTTTTTTTCGGATAAAAAAAATGGATCGGTGAAATTTACATGTTATAAATCCAACCATAAAATCGACTACCTATAAATCGGTGGAGTTTACAATCGCCCATTTATGGCGACCAGTTACAAAAATCTAAAAAAAGTACATATTAACTTTCTAGCTTTTTTATTATGAAAAGGTTAGTGTATAATATTCAAAATTTTGTAGTGATTGTTGATTTTAGTAAAAAAATATGTGCATCAACACTCACTACCAGTGGAAATTTAATAATTTAATTTGATCAGGATAAGTCTATAATATACCACCCACTATTTCACAAATTTAACGTTTTACCAAATAAAAAATCAGTTTGGCTGAGTTATCAGTGCTTCAGTATATTTATATACTCATAATACACATAAATAAAAATAAAAAGGGACCGGTCCAATGTGTGATTGACTATTAACTATATATTATATTCATACTACAAAAGTATTTTTTAAATCTGATAAAAAAATCATCATATATTTGAGTTTGTACCAAGTGGCATGACCGCCACTATTCTTCTTTAAGTTGGCGGTCTAATAGTAGAGATGTACCATTAACTTTATTATTATACTTAGACCTGACTAACAATTTTTTTTAAAGTACCATCCGAATGTCTTTTTTTACTGGTCCTTGTTGTTTCACGTAATTGTCCACCACATTCGGTGTCATCAATATTCTTTTTTGGACAAACCAAACGGTTGTTACTTAAAAGGTTTTTACTTTTTAAATATTCAACGCATTTCAATTCATCAATAATTATATTTTTATATAAATATCCCATTGTTGTAGTAGAATTCATTTTAAAATTTAAATCGTTACTATAAACTAGTTATGAAAAAAAATTGAAAAAATTGACCAACAAACGAAATGACACGAATGAACGCTAAATGGTAACTGAATGTTTAAATGATGTATTTTAAAAATACAATACAGTCGTAAAATCCATATCATATCGATAATTATGTAGGTATAGCACTCTAGTGTAAAATATAGATATGTTTTCAGTAGATCACACATTGCACCGGTCCCAATAAAAAATTACACATTAAGATATTATGTGTATGTATATAAATATCACTTATTATTAAATCATTTATTAAACATGTTGCGTCCCGTTGAACAACGCCGATTCATATATTCATGCGGAAATGAGAATATTGATATACCTATTAAATATATAGTAAATCTTTATTTAATTTATACTTAGATATAAAAATACACTAATATAAATACAAGATGTAAAGTGAGCGGTGTTACGACCGGCCTCGGAAATACTGATAACCAAGACAATTAGTGGTGTTACAACTTGCCTCTAAGCGTCTTGGATATCCCTAACCGTCTAGCGAGCTCTGGCTCATGTTGCCCTTATGATCTTATAAATGGTCTTCACACAATGAGAGTCGTCGGCGCCGGAGGTGGTGATTTACGATGACACGTGCACCCTTGCTCCGTGATTTGTATTTTGATAAATGTTAGCCCTCGGTTTTTTACAATCACGATGTTTTCTAAGAAGTTCACGTCGTGTAGTTGTATCTAAATTGTTTAAAATATAAAAATGTTCACAACATCCGCCCTGGCCTTTCATTGTCTGTGTCATTCGCTACATGGATCATGTGTCACCTCGTTATGTGAATACATGTGTTATAAACTATCAATAGTATTACGGAGCCTGTGATATAAATTATCAGCGTTATTAAAGAATCCGTAACAATATACACATTTTAATGTTCTACTTATTTTAAAATTAACTTGTTTTACGTTTTTTTTCTATAACTCTTCTAGTTTTCCCGATTTTATTTATATTTAATATTTTAGTCTTATTTAACGCAAACAATTTAAATAAAACACCGAACTACGTTTCACTACTACATTGTTTTTGCTGTCTGTAATAAGTGTAAGCGAGTATCAACCACCAACAGTCAGCACCTACGTGTGGTGTCGTTATTATTAATTATTACGAGAAAAAAAAATATAACTATAGTTTTTAAATAAATCTTTATGTAGGCTATTCATCCATATATATATATCTGTATGTATATTTCATACATCGTATAAATTGTCAGAACGAAATATTAAATAGCTTATCGAGGATACATTTGATCACTTTATAATTTATATTCTTTATAATACTATTAAATTATTGATTGTTATGAATTGTATGATACTTAAAATCACACAATCAGATGATTTACATACTTCTCTATGCATTATATATATTATATTCTTATGTTATTTCATATACTATATTTTTAGTTCTTATAACATTATTAGGCTATTTAATTTGTTATCGTAACGGATATCCGGGATTTAACCAGGTGTTTCCCCAGGCCAGTCCGCCTCAGTAATCGCCCTTTAATATGTACAGTGGCAAAGCCTCGACTTTTTGTATGTTCAAATCGTCTCTGCCCACTACTATCACTGTACCTACTAATGTAATAATAAGGATAGTAATATACATAAATGCATTAGGTCGAACCATGAAATATAAATGAATAATTACATTTTGTAATATGATTGATAATAATGTATCTATCATTTTTTTTTAAATTTACAATTGCATGTACTTAACACTATAGTGACTAGCAACAAAAAAAATTTAAAAAATCCTGTTTTACAATTAAAGAGTAAGGGTACTGGTTTGTTATAGCCTCGCCATCCACATAACAATAAACACATCGTAAGGTAGAGGAACAGACTGAAATTTTTTAGACTCTTACATGACGGAATTTATGTGGTGATCAAAAGTAATAACAGTGATCTCTGTTTGACACCATTTTAAAAGATATAGCAGAATTTTTGGAATAACAGAAACCATAAACATTTTTACATACATTATTTAATTACACATTTTTAATATTCATATTTTTTAAATTTGTTTTCATATTATATCATTGAATTATTAGATTAATAAATATCAATAAATAAACTCATTATTTTATATTTATACGATGTGTTCATTGTTATATGGATGGCGCCATGGCGGGGCTATAGTTTTCATTCGCCGCGGCGGGGCCATAACAAACCAGTACCAAAGTAAATCTGGTCATTATAAGACTGTTGCGTCCCGTATGTCAACGTCAATTCATATATTAACGTAGAAACGAAATACTAGTGTTTTAAGTTAAATTATTAACGTCTTTATTTTAATACATATATTTCGTACAAAAATACAATTTTATAAGTATAAGATGGATGAGCGGTGTTACGACCAAACTCTGAAATACTGATAGACGAGACCGTAAGTGGTGTTACGACCTGCCTCTGAGCGTCTCGAATATCCCTGTCTATCCAACTCTTGTCGTGGTCTCCCATATAAATGGTTAACTGACAAGAGTGTTGACTGGGGAGGTGGCGACTTTTGATAACCTAAAGGAGCTCTCTAAATTATACTTATTATTCAGTTCGGCTCCTTTCCTGTGATTTCATCTATTC